ACACTGGCTAACACGCCAATCATCCCCCCACCCATGAAAAATATTTTTCTACGCCACTGATCAGTGTTAAGGTTAAAGGTGGCTTTCCGTGATGGCGATGTAATCGGTTGACAACTGTTGAATTTTAAATCTCAGCTCCATCATTTTAGTTAAGATCGAGCGAGCGTTAGTGAGAAACGATGACGGTAACGTCCACTTACAGTCAAAAGCGGGAATTAGGTTATCGCTATTCACTTCACGTCTAGTGGGATTAAATCACTGCTATATGAATACTTCGTTTTAATTTTTTTTTTTCACTTTCTTTTGCGGGGTCGTCCCACATTTATTCATCGATCTTTTTTCCTGTTTCTTTTGTACCTAATACCCCAGGCATTAAAAGTGTACCTTTTAGATTGTAGTATCTTTTTTAAAAGAGATAGCACTACTTATTAAAACATCATGAAAGATATTTTAAATATCTTTTATTGTTACATTCTGCATTAAAAAGAATATTGATAGAGCCAAAATTCTTATTAAGATTTCTTAAAATATTACCGGTAGCTTTGTATATACAAAATATTCAAATAGAAAAAAAGGTGATCAACATAGAGATTCCCAGTTCTGAGGATTATGTTTTGAAAGGTTGTTTTAATATCATATTTAATTTACATAAGGTAATATAATTCCACAGTTGTTTTGATTCACTACACTCGAACAATAGATGAGCATCATCCCGAACAACATTACACCTAAGGCATCAATTTGAATTATTTTATTTTTATATTTTCCATAAATATAACCTCTTTCTAGTTGGAAGATGTTATGTAGAATTTTAAAATTCAGTTGTTTAAGTTTGTTTTCCTTAATTAATTTAACCTTCCACTCACTTTGTTTGGCACTTTAAAGGCTCAGTGCATTTATTTTTTTTTATAAAACAATTGTATCTCTGTTTGCTATTCATATTGCACCAACTTAGTACATGGATAGTCTTATTTTGTTTACATACTGTAGGCCTGTCTACATTTCTTGAAAATAGTGTATACTACCAATCATTTGGAATGGCCTTCAACAAACATACATATTCTGAAATCCAGTTTGCTTTGGAATTTAGTTTCGTAAACGACTCAGGTGAGTTAACAAATCTATTGCAGATCACAATATCATTAATTCTGTTAATGCCTGATCTAATCCAGTTCCTATACATTAAAGATAAACAATTATACTGAATCATTTTGTTTCCACAGTGCTGTTGTTTCATGACATCCTATAGCTTACAGGGTGTTGAAGTAAACAATCATTAAGGTGAGACAGTGCCTTTAACATCGATTGATAAAAAATTGATAAATTCCTGAATGTATGTTCTCTATAAAGAGTATGCGAGATATTTCAAATAATCTTTTCTGGGCCTAATTTATTAAAATAAATATTGGGTAAATATTTCCAATAAGAACTTTCTTCATTATACAAACGCTTAAACCAAGCAATTTTTAGTGATTGAACCTGTGATCTAAAGTCAGGTGCTTTTATCCCACCTTGATCTAATTCGTTATGTAGAGTTAATCTTTTGACTTTTTCAGTTTTCTTATAACAAAGAAAATCAAAATCTATGTTATCAACTTGCTTTATGACGCATTTAGGCGTATCAATGACACTTGCAACGTATATGAGCTTTGCAACCCCCAATGTTTTTAATATTGTGACCTTCCAAAAGGGGTCAAATTTCTTTTTCGCCAAGTACATATTTCAAGGATTTAATTTTGTCAGACCAGTTTTTTTGTGAAACATAAACAATGGTTACGGCCAACATATATACCGAGAATTTTGAAAACGTCCTTAACCCACTTGATTCCAAACAAATTTTCTTTTCTTTTTTTCTCATTTCCAAACCACATAGCATTTGTTTTTTCTTTGTTAAGTTTCAGTCCAGAGACCTTACCAAATTCGTCAATTTTAGTTATCATCTTTTTACACTTTTTTCTTTTATAAATAAAACCGTGTCGTCAGCAAGCTGAGAAATTTTAACTTCAATATCTTGAACATTCTCAATACTTGGTAATATAATACCCCTGATTAATTCATCATTTCTTAGCCTTATTGCCATCACTTCTGCAGCCATGATAAACAAGAGAGTAGAGAGTCTAATACCTCTATGCATTCTAAAACTCTTTAAAAGCCATCCATTATTGGTTATGATGCATTCCGTATCACAATAAAATAGATTTATCCAACCAATAAATGATTGTCCAAAGTTAAAATAGGTAGGTGTATTTACAAGAAAATCTCTGTTGACAGTGTCAAAGGCTTTGGAAAAATCTAAGCTAATCATAGCTCCTTTAAGATGGTTTGTATCCATATATTTCATCAGGTCCTCGATAATTCTTATATTCTCGCCACCGAAACGGCCTTCAATGTAACCTTTTTGGTCATTACTAACAATTTATTTTAAATAATATTTTATAATCTTTTTGGTAAACTAGCGCAGCAATCTTTTATTCTACATTTAGGAGGGTAATGGGCCTCCAATTGTTTAAATTATCATGATCGCCTATCTTAAAAATAAGATTTATTACGCCTCTTTGTGTATTAGATAATTCTCCTGTCTTCAGGGACGTGTTAAGAGCATTGGTTACTAAGAAGTCTATCTTGGGCCAGAAGTGTTGATAAAATTCAACTGTGAGACCGTCTGTCCCGGGTGCTTTATTTGTTTTCATATTGTGTATAGCATGTTCACATTCAATCAGGGTCAGTTCGCCCTCACATGATTGCCTTTCAGAATTTGTCAATTTTGAGGGTTTTGTTGATTCTAAATATTCTTGTATACTGTTTAATTGGATGTTCTGATTAGCATATAATCTCTCAAAATGTTGAACCTCCTCAGTCCAAGAATTTCCCTCGACGTTGGAGCAAATGTACTATTGGATCTTTTCATTTTATTACTTTGTTTTTTTCTTGCCATTATTTTTTTCAAGCCCAAGGAAGTATTTTGAATTTGTTTCACCTTTCTCTACCAATTTTGTCCGTGAACGTATTTGAGCTCCTGTCTTTATGGGCTTATATTTGTTCAATCTCAGCAGTTTTTGTTTTAATTCCAATTTCAATTTTATCATTACAGACATTATTATTCATCAGCTGAACATTTAGTTGCTTAATATCTTTTTGTATTTTTTCTTTTTTACAATTTTTATTTATATTTTCTGTTTTACCAAAAAGTATTGTATACTCTTTAATCTTAATTTTGATAATTTCCCATTTATCCCTTGGGCTCAGAAATTCCATTTTCTTTTCGCAGTCATCAATTATCTCAATAACTTTATTGGTAAATAAACATAACTGGAATTAAATTTCCATAATCTTGGGCCGCGTTTTTCGTCTAATAATCTAACAACGATTGAAAGCCCTTGATGGTCGGTAAATAGGCCTAGCTGGTCTGATTTAACAGGAAACTATATCCCCCGCCCTATGTAAATCCGTTGAAATAAACCAGTAATCAAGCCTTTTAAAGAGATTGGCTGATTTTCGACGCCAGGTGAATTGCATTTTGTATTTGTTAATAGTTCTAAAACAATCAATTAACTTAAAACTATTCATAAAACTTTTAACTGTGAAAACTGAATTATCATTTTTCATTTTGCTAGCTTTTGGTCAAAATTTTTTATCTTGTATGCAATTCATATCGCCACCCATGAGAGTGTAAAGTTCTAACTGATTATCACAAAAATTATTGATATGCTTTTGCAGGCTCCTAAAAAATTTACTTCGGAGTTTGCTGTCATTCGGTGCGTAAACATTAATAAGTAGAAATTCAGTGCCCCCAACGTCAATATGTAACAAGATAAATCTACCATCTTTATCTTTGTGTTCCTTTATACATTTATAATCTAGACCTTGTCTAATCAGTATTGACACACCTTTGCTGAAAGACGTTCCAAAACTATGGTAGATGTCTTCCTTCCAGAGAAAGTCAAAACTATTAGCAAGGTTTTCTGTAAGATGGGATTCCTGGGCAAAGAAAATATCCACCTTGTTATCTTTTACCCATTAA